CAGCAAGAGTATGAGATTGGCGTTGACTTGATCTTCAAGACTATCGAATTGGTTTCCGTGCGCATGTCTCACCTCGGAGAGCAGAGACGACCTTTCTTGAGTGTTCTGGCGCAGCTGGTTGAGCGATCGCAGAACATCAAGCTTTGCAGCAAGGTCCTTGGTATGGTGGAGACCTGGATCTTCCATTCAACCGAGTCGTGGCCCACGCTGAAGGAAAAGACGGCTGTCTTGCACAAGATGCTGCTCTTCGAATCTCGTCCTGATCAGACGATGCTGAAGAAGTTCCTCGATCTTGTCATCAGGATCTACGAAGACTCCAAGATCACTCGCACGGAATTGACTGTGAGGCTGGAGCACGCTTTCTTGATTGGCACCAGAGCTCAAGATGTTGAGATGCGCAATCGCTTCATGACTATCTTCGACCGCAGTCTGACTCGCTTGGCTAGCTCTCGACTCAGCTATGTGTTGACTTGTCAGAACTGGGACACCCTTGCTGATTCTTTCTGGTTGGCGCAAGCCTCACATCTGGTCTTAGGCTGCGTGGATATGGCGTCTTCGGCCAGGTTGCACCCTGATGATTTCACTGTCTATCCTGTATCTTTTCTCTTTGGCAATGCCGAAAAGGATCCTCGTAAAGCTGATATTATGGTCGACACACAACTGGAAGCCTTCGTCACTGACCGCAAGCGATTCGTTGCAGAGATTGGTGATGTGAAGGCTCGCGACCTGGTGGAGCCTTTGGTTCAGCTTCAGCACACTGATCCTAATGTGTCCTACAAGCTCTGGACCACGCTCTTCCCCATTTTGTGGTCTACACTTTCGAGGGAGGATCGCATCGATCTTGAGAAGGGAGTGGTGACGCTCATTACTCGGGAGTACCATCAAAGACAGCTGGATAAGCGACCGAACGTTGTGCAGGCCTTGCTCGAGGGCGTTGTCCGAGCACGCCCGCGGTTCAAGATTCCTCCTCACGTTATGAAGTATCTCAGCCGAACCTACGATGCCTGGTATACGGCCGCTACATACCTCGAGGAATCAGCCATCAGTCCCATCATTGACACTCCTACTGTCCGTGAAAGTAATCTGGATGCTTTGGTCGAGGTATACGCTGGTCTGCAGGAAGACGATTTCTTCTACGGCACTTGGAGGCGTCGTTGCAAGTTTGTTGAAACAAATGCTGCTCTTTCGTACGAGCAACAAGGCATGTGGGACAAGGCTCAGCAACTCTACGAAAATGCCCAGATCAAGGCTCGCTCCGGAGCCATGCCCTTCTCCCAAGGGGAGTACTACCTGTGGGAGGACCACTGGTTGATCTGCGCACAGAAGTTGCAGCAGTGGGAAGTCCTGAGCGATTTCGCCAAGCATGAGAACTTGAACGACCTTCTGCTGGAGTCTGCTTGGAGAAACATCGAGAATTGGCAGAGCGAGGGTAGTAGGGAGCAGCTCGAATCTCTGATCAAGTCTGTCTCTGATGCACCCACTCCAAGACGCACATTCTTCCAGTCCTTCATGGCGTTGCTTCAGTTCCATATAAAGAAGGAGAATCTCCAGGACTTCAACGGTGTTTGTGATGAGTCTATCCAGCTGTCCATCCGCAAATGGCTCCAACTACCCAAGAGGATCACCAACGCCCACATCCCGATTCTGCAGCACTTCCAGCTTCTGGTTGAACTGCACGATGCCAGTCATATTTGCGCTAGTTTGTCTCAAACGAACGAACGCAATCTGGACACGAAGTCTGCTGAGCTTAAATTGCTGCTGGCAACGTGGAGAGATCGTCTGCCCAATCTGTGGGATGATATCAATGCTTGGCAAGACCTCGTTACATGGCGTCAGCATATCTTCCAGCTTATCAACGCGACCTATCTGAGTTTGTTGCCACCTCAGACGAATAATGTGGCTAGCAACTCGTACGCCTATCGCGGGTACCATGAGACGGCATGGATCATCAACCGTTTCGCTCATGTCGCTCGTAAGCATCAGATGCCTGAGGTATGCATCAACCAGCTTAGCCGCATCTATACTCTTCCGAACATCGAGATCCAGGAGGCATTCTTGAAGCTCCGCGAGCAAGCTAAGTGCCATTATCAGAATCCGAAGGAATTGAACAGTGGACTGGATGTGATCAACAACACCAACCTCAACTACTTCGGTGCGCAACAAAAAGCAGAGTTCTACACGCTCAAGGGTATGTTTCTTGCTAAGCTCAACCACGTCAATGAGGCAAATGAGGCGTTTGGTGTCGCGTTGTACTACGAATTGAGACTCGCAAAAGCGTGGTCTGAGTGGGGTCAGTATAGTGACCAACGGTTCAAGGCTGACCCCTCGGACTACGAGCTTGCAAGCAACGCTGTGAGTTGCTATCTAGAAGCTGCTGGTCTCTACAAGAATGCCAAATCTCGGAAGCTGCTGAGTCGCATCCTTTGGCTTCTAAGCCTGGACAATGAGGAAGGCCAGATTGCTCGAGCTTTCGAGAACTTCAAAGGTGATACACCGGTCTGGTACTGGATTACCTTCATTCCGCAGCTTCTCACCAGTCTTTCGCACCGTGAGGCGCGGCTGTGCAAGGCTGTTCTGGTCAAGATCGCGAAGCTGTTCCCACAGGCTCTCTTCTTCTTGCTTCGTACGAACAGGGAAGATATGCTCAACATCAAGAAACAGCATGACTCGAAGCAGGAGAAGCTCAGCCGCACCAGGGTCCACGGCCAACAACAGCAACAATCGTCACCTCTGGCCAAGACTGCACCGACAAGCACCGATGCCTCGCCTGCTCAAAACGCTCAGCCGAGCAGCGCTGTTCCCAGTCCAGCACAACCAAATGGTCAGCAAGGCACCCCTCAGCAGATACCCAATCAGGCTCAGCCCCATCCCGCAGGGGTCAATCAGGGCCAGCCTGCGAATCCAGCACAGATGAAGAATCCGAACATGCCACAGCAAGTGCCCGGCCAAGGCCAAATGCAGCAACCCCAGGGTCAGACTCAGGCTCCCGCACCGATGCAGAACCAGGCACCAAATCCAGGACAACCTCCAATGCAGCCGCAGCCGCAGCAGCAGCCACAAGTCCAGCAGCAACAGGGGCACCTTCAAGTGCCCGGTCAGAACGGTGTCCCTCAGCCGAATGCCAAGCCTCCTGGCACGGAGATTGAAAAGGAACCTCTCAAGAAGCCGTGGGAGTACTCCGATGAGATCATGTCTGGCCTCAAGACAGCATTTCCCCTGCTTGCTTTGTCCATGGAAACTATGGTCGACCAGATTCACAAGAACTTCAAATGCCCTCCTGATGAGGATGCGTACCGTCTCATTGTTGCCCTGTTAAACGACGGTCTGGCGTACGTTGGTCGGATGCCTGGCTCATATGCGCAAGACTTCAAGTTGCCGTCTGCCACTGAGGCGAATATTACTCGGTTCGCAGAGACTATCCTTCCAGCACATATCCGCAAGTCCTTCGAAGCCGACTTTGTTGTCAAGAAACCAACGATGTACGAGTACATCCACAAGCTTCGGCGTTGGCGTGATAAGTTCGAGGAAAAGCTGGACCGTCGACCCCAGAATCAGTTCCTGGAGACTTATTCTCCACACCTCAGCGAATTCCGATTCCTCAAGTTCGACGAGGTTGAGGTACCAGGCCAGTATTTGCTTCACAAGGATAAGAACCAGGACTTTGTTCGCATTGATAGGTTCTTGCCGGACATTGACCTCGTACGTGGCATCGGTGTCTGCCACCGCCGGTTGAAGATTCGGGGCCATGATGGTAGTGTGCACGCCTTCGCCGTGCAACACCCAGCTGCGCGACATTGTAGGCGAGAGGAGCGTATTTTGCAATTGTTCCGCATCTTCAACGGGATCCTGGGCAAGCGCAAGGAGAGCCGCCGGCGGAACTTGTACTTCCATCTGCCACTCATGGTTCCATTGGCGCCCCACATCCGCTTGGTTCGCGATGATCCGTCCTACATCTCTATGCAAGGGATCTATGAGGACTACTGCCGACGGGTTGGCATCAACAAAGACGAGCCTGTTCTCTTCACGATGGAGAAGATGAGATCACTGGCGGAAACGAAACAGAATGTGAGCGGATTCCCTCAATCTAGAATTTGGAACATGACTGACATATCCCAGCGTACTCTCGACCAACAGCAAGTGCTCCGAACTGAGATGCTCACAGCCATTCAGGAGAAGTGGGTTCCTAGCAACATTGTGCTCGATTACTTCCAGAGGATTTATCCGAACTTCTCGGACTTCTGGCTCTTCCGACGGCAATTTGCCTATCAGTACGCGGCGATCGCTTTCATGACCTACGTGATGCACATGGGTAATCGCTACCCTAACAAGATCATGATCTCGAGACAGACAGGCGACATCTGGGGCTCGGAGCTCATTCCCACCATCAACCCGGCCAAGGCGTTCTTCTACAACCCGGAGCAGGTGCCGTTCCGCTTCACGCCCAACATCCAGACCTTGCTGGGACCAATTGCAACCGAGGGTCTCTTTGCCTGCGCACTGATGGCGATTGCTCGGTGCCTCACAGAGCCACGACACGAGCTGGAGCAGCAACTGAGTGTTTTTGTCCGCGATGAAATGATGTTCTGGGCTACCGCGCAGCATCGTGGGGCGTTGCCACCTCCTCAGCTCCGCGATCTGGTCTACAACAATAGCGATATCATTGTCAACCGGGCAGTCAGTCTGGCTAGTCCTCCGGAGGGCAATCTGCCAGCGAACCAAACCACCATCGACCTCATCTCCAAGGCCGTCAACCCCCAACACCTTGCCTCGTGTGATGCTTTGTGGATGGCATACCTCTGATTTTTTTTTCTCTTGCGGCGTTTTGTTTAGTGTTCATTTATGATTTGCGGACGAGGCTTACGGGTCTGCTAAGTCAAATGGGAGTTTCCATTCTAGCGTGGCGCTTCGGGGCGCAGTCTATGGGATACGGTTACGATATCTGATAGCTTTTGTTGTCATGAGTTTGCGCTGTTTGTTGTATCATAATCTAATCAACGCGGACATTTATATTCAGACCTTTGAGACAGTGTTTTCTATTGACTGTGGAGATCAAATACTACAAAATGTGCGTGCTCGAAATAGAAGTTAGGTGAGATAGCAGAATTATGAGCCTTGAAAGACCTATGTGCAAGTAATCGTGAGTTCGTAGTAAGAAAGCCTCCCATGCTTAGCAATGCAACCAAACGCCTTGTGGAAGTGAAAGGAAGAGAAAGGAACTAGACCAACGATGGCTTGGCCTTCTTCTTGATCCCCAAGCTATTTGCCAGGGGCTTCTTAGCCTTCTTGACGCGGGCAAAGGAAGGCGGCGGCGCAGGCCCCCCAGACTGCTCGCCACCAGGGAAGCTGCTGCTGCTGCCGTTGCTGCCACCAATACTGTTGCTGCCGCTGCCGCTCGCCCCAGGCTCCTCTTCCACCTCAACCAACCGCTTGACCCTCTCCCCCGACTCGGTCATAAACGCGCGCCGGGCAGCCTCCTCAATCTCGCGCTCCGCGCGCACCGCCTCCTCATCCTTCTCCTCGCGCACGCGCTCCAATGCCGAAACGGTCCCCTCCTCCCCCAACGCCTCCGTCCGCTCCATCCGGGCATTCCGCGTCCGAATCTCATCCAGCGCGTCCGCAATCGCCATCTCCCGCTTCGAGTCCAGCATCTTTTCTTCCAGCTCCGCCATCTTATCGCGCTCCTCCTGCTCGGCCTCCTCGCCCTCCTCGCGCTCCAGCCGGTCCAGCGTCTCCTGCTCCGTCTCGTCGTGGTTCGGGAGTTGGGAGGCATCGCGCCACGGCTCGAAGTTCCGCTTCGCCCCGCGCTCCGCCCGGTAGTCCATGTTCTTGGGGTCCGTTACGAACGTGATCTCCCCGCTGCACCGCGTGCACCGGATGTAGAACCGGTAGATCGGGATCGAGAAGTATTTCTCCGAGGTGGTCTCCTTCCGCGCGTTGAATTTGCGGCCTTTGTAGATGAATTCGCCTACCAGGGAATACATATTAGTATGGGTTGTGGTGGGGATGGGGGTTGGGGATGCGGATTGGGGATTGGGGTGAAGGTCGAGGGGTTGGGTACGCACCGCACTTCTCGCATTTCATCGAGAACGGTGCCATCAGGCGCACGGTGATCACCTTCGGCCCTGTCTTGCGCAGGTGTTTCGGGACCCGGGTGATCGCGCTCGGATCGAAGTCCGGGGGGTAGTACTTTGTCAGGACCTGTTGGTTGGGTTTGTTAGTTTTTGGTCTGATGATGGAGAGTTTGTGAGGGGGGGAGGGTGATTCTGTAGTAACGTACTTTTCGCTCAGACATGGTGGCGGTTGAAAGATTGGGTTGGGGGGAAGTGGTGAGTGAGAGTGAGAGTGTTGGTGTTGGAAGGTGGTTGATTGCTTCGATGATGGCGACGGCGAAGGCGAAGGCGATTTGCGCCCGGTCGCTATCGAGCGATAGGATCATGTGAGAGTCACGTGCGCTTATCGATATGCCAGCGCCGTACGGAGAACTCAAGTAGTATGTCAGCTGCGCCGCCTAGCTATGCTCTGCCTTACTTGCTACATCTAGAAAATGTCTGTACAGTTTAATCTCCTCTCCTAAGCGACGCTGCGACGAATCATCTTTTACATTCAATAGCATTCCCCCCTCAAATAAATAATGTCTGCTTTGGATCCATCGGCAAGGAATACAACAATACCCGGGTATAATTCATCCAAACGAACGCCCAGTAGTCTATGCTCCAATGTCATCTCACTGCTGCCTCGTGTTGCTTCGCACCAGCCTCGTTCCTCGACTCCGTCCGCTCGCAGGCCCGGGCGTCTCGTCACTTTCCGCCTCAACAACCCGTCGCCTGCTGCGTCCACCTCGCACGCGACTCATTGCCTGCCGCAACATGCCGTCCGCTTCGTCATCCAGCTCCATTTCCACTTTCTCTTCGAGCGTCTCCGCGTGCGCGGCTGCGCTGGGGGCGTCAACATGGGCCACCTCATCGGTCCATTCTTCGGTGTACGATTCCTCACGAACCCCTCGCCGCCGGGAAACGCTTTTCCCCTTGCCTTTTGATGATCGCGTAGAGCTCCGACTGGCTGTCGTTCTCGTCTCTTCAAACACCAGTTGTTCGGTCTCTTGGCCTTCCAGTGCCCAGATCTCCAGCGCGCGAGAAAGCAGTGTGCCGGCGATGCCAGCGCCACCTGCTGCATCGCCGCCCCCGCTGGCCCCGAGCACTCGTACCGCTTCGTGTAGCGCTGTCACGGCTTCCATGGTGCGGCTCAACTCCAGCAATACAAGACCGCGAGCAGTGTGCAATGAGCCGACCAGCCCGCGGTCTTCGTAGCCTCCGACACCCGACGTGGCCACGCCCGATGCGCTCCCGCCGCTGCCACCTAAGAATGGGCTGTACCCGAAGCTTGCGCCGGCGGCGCCAATGCGTAAGCACTCATCGAACTCGGTCAGCGATTCTGAAAATCGCCCAATGCGACGCAAGGCATGTCCCAAGTTTGCTCGCGTCGCTACCCACGCCCCAGGCTCGCATTCCAGCGATGTAGCCAGTGCGAGAGACCGGCGGAAGAGTTCAACGGCCGCCTCAAGGTGGTTCTGGTGATAGAAGACAACCCCGAGTTCGTTCAGGACCAGAGGGTCGCCACCAAGGGACGTTAGCTCGGAAGATGGGTTGGCACGGATGGCTGGGGCAGACCCCGACGCGTCCCCGGTGGACATGGAGTACGCTGCCGAAAGGTACTCTTGAGCAAGGGACATGTTGTTTAATGCAAGATGCTGCATGCCTAGGAATAGCTGAGGCAGGTGGCTGCCCTGGAAGAGCCGCGCCGCTGTGCTATACGCGGCAATCGCCTGATCGTGCTCGCCTTCGGCGGCAAAAGTGTGGGCAAAGCCAATCCATGCTGGCGCGGAATGGGGATCCAGCAAGGAGGCTTTGGAGAAGAACCGTCGCGCCTCAGCGATCTTGGAAACCGATAGATAGTATACACCGATAGCGAGGTAAGTGTACGATTCCTCTGGAGCGTGATCAGCGAGCGTATGCGACAAAAGAAAGAGTGCGTTTGTTGCTCCGGTTTCGTAGAGACACGCCAGATGTAAGGGATAGACTGCAGGCGGATGTCCAAGGTGGCTTTGAGCGGACACGTGCATTGCAGCTGCCGTCTGCGTCGAAGATGCACTCGTTTGCGACGCAGAGAGAATAGACGAGGTGAGTTCGAGAGCTTGTGCAAAACGACACTGTGTATATAGAGCTTCTGCCCGCGACAGCAAAATATCCGGATTTTCTGATAGGTTGTAATGCGTCGAAAGAGTTTCGGTCGCATCCGAAAGAATTGTAGGGGAGGAGTACTTGGACAGTCGGGTGGTGTATAGCATCTTGGTAAAGTGGGCCGCCTCTTGCGCGACTGACGGATCGGGGCTGGAGACAGAATCAAAATCGAGCGACTCGAGGAACTCCAGTTCCTCCGCAGGCGACATGAGCGAGTTCTTCATGAGCTGGTCGAACGCCTCGAAGCACTGAACATCGATCCGGACCGCATCCTTGTAGCAATCCCGCGCGCGGTCGAAGGCATTCTGCTTCGCGAAACAGAGTCCCCTCAGATAGCACATCGCTGCCTCAAATCGAACATTGTTTGCGTCTTCTTTTTCCCGCTCCTCGCTACGGTCGATCCGCGACGCTGTTGTCTTTCCGTTCCGCAAAGTAACATGGCTTTGGCCGTTGACGTGTTGCAGCTTGCGACGACTGTTGCTGCTGCGGACCAGATGAGTTGGATTATGGTCCCCGAGGACGGAGAGCGCCTGTTCGAACTGGTTCTGCTTGATGTAGCAGTGTGCGGCAAGGTAGCGACAAGCCGTGCTTCGGGAGATGAGGTCTTTGCGGGAGAGAAGGGCGAGGGCGCGGGCGTAGTTGTTGTTCGAGAAATGAACCTGTGCTAGCCAGAAGGCATCTGAGTCACTGTCTGGAACACGGCGGTCCCTAGATTAGTCCCTGTAGACATGCGAGCAAAGAGCTCACGGCCGCATAGCGTCGGGGGACTCACTGGTCAGGGCCAGCACCTTGTCGCCGATGTAAATGGCTGCGTCATGCTGGCCTCGGTTCAGCGCATCCTGGCGCCAGGAGCGCAAGAATTTTTCCATGAGCGAGAGGAGCACGTGGAAAGCGCAGGAGTTGTTAGGGGGAGGTTCACGGACGACGGGGCGGTCACGACGGTGGCATCCATCGACCGAGAGGCATGAGGCGGGTTGGAGGGGCGACGATTGTTTTGGCGGGAGGATAAACAGTCCGCGGGAAAGAGTGGCGGTAAAGCGTTCGCTGATGTGCGTAGTGCTGCGCAGGGTCTGCACAGATGACAGAGAGAAGAGAGTGCGGGTTTATTGTAGTTGGTCGAAAAGAAAATATTAAGTATAGGCCCCAAGTTGAAGGGAGAAAAGGTAGGGGATGGCAGCCGACAACACAGTTGGGACTATGGATGGATGGAACTGAAAGCGCGTCAACCTGCCAAGTGGAAAGTGGTCTGTGCGCTTGCCTGTTTGGAGAGTTCGGCTCACCGCCCAGTAGCAGTATGAGATACCTAGTAGTAGTAGTTCCAGATGGTTCGTTTAACAACCTCAATTTTTATATGCCAAATGCTTATAGAAGAGACATGCAGAGGATTTCGTTTACTATTGACCATTTCACCGTCTCTGGTCGACGGACAGCCCGTGTTTCCGGCTGCAGTCACCCTTGAAGATCCACTGCGCCGGACAGTGGTGGATCCCTTGTATCTATACAGCAAGTCGGATGCAGATGCTATGCGTACAGGGGGTGAACAATCTAGGCTCGATCCTTGAGTGCTGATTTGCAGAACGATCATTAAGTGTATCACCGTTGAGGACATCCTGTCATGTAGGGTAAAACAGCAAGGAGACCGGAGCGCCATAGAGACGTAACTTAGAGCACAAAGCTCCCACGGCTGCCAGCAACTGTTTATAATCAGATCGTCGTGATATTATCAGAAGGAAGGCTATCCAGACGTGTACTAAGATTTTCAGAGTGTCCTAATTTAGTAAGATATGACAGTGGTATCACCGACTGAAGGAAGCATCGACCTCTTTAGAGCTCCATGATTTGAGACAGCCACGAATTTACAGCCGTTGTCTCAGATCTCAAAGCTTCCATCATACAGCCCCTTTCACAGACAGAATTATGGCTCTCAGAGATGAACACTGTTGCAGTGAATGACGTCTCTAGGCTTCCACCATCATCTTTCCGCCTTTTCTATCTTCTCCTATCCATAACCTTGCCATCTCATCAGCATGGGAGCCACCATCCACACAAGAAGAGCCCCTCCACCCTCATCTCCATCATGGCACTCCTTCAAAGTCATCGATGGCGTTTACGACAAAGCCATCTTCTTCATACCATCTATTTGATGGGACTGTTCTCTGTAATCGGAATCGTCCTCATCTGGTACGGGGTCAACTCAGACCGCGAATACATCCACCCTTTACTTACTCAGTTAATCCCTGCGGGCCACTGTGCGTGTCTGACCTCAACCACTTTTCAATGTGCAAGCTGCCTGAACTGCGCCCACAAGAAGCCTCTCCCTCAGACTGCACTTCCTGCTGTCTTGGCCTGGAAGTTTGAGGCTGGACGAGATGGCGGCAATGAAGGATTCAGTCGAGCCCAGTGCATGGCCGCTTTCCCAGGTCTGTTCGAAGATATCTTGCGTGCAGGGACATTCTGGAGAAAGCATGGTGGCCTTGACGTCGAGCACTTGGAATACATCCCGTTAAAGCATGGCATGGCGCGGGCGTTCATTCATCGCGGAGAGCTTTATGTGGTGAACGCGCTATCACGAGGTGAAGATCATCGACGAAAGATTTTAGCTGTCCTGAGTGCGATCCACCGTGCCTTGATTACAAACCCCGCACGAGCCTCCCAGCAAGATCTGGAGTTTGTCTTTTCCGTGGAGGATAAAGTCACGGACGTGACCACTGAAGACCAGCCTATCTGGGCATTTGCAAGGTCTGCTGGTGAAGAGGCGGTTTGGCTCATGCCTGACTCTGGCTACTGGGCATGGGAGAATGTACAAAATTCCATTGGGCCATACGACCAAGTAGTCGACCACATCAAGTGCACAGAAATCCCTGGTCGCAGAAGAAAAGACAGCTTGTCTGGCGAAGAAAGCCCAGTTTCGCACCTAAGCTGCGGCGCGCGCTGATGGATGCTGCGCGAGGCCAGCCGTGGGGTAATGTCAAACACGTGGATTGGAATCAACGAACGAATGTTATGAGCCTAGAGGACCATTGCCGATACATGTTCATAGCTCACGTTGAAGGTAAGCTTTTGCGTTTGCACGCTGATGGTTGTATCTGGTCAAGCGCAACGCTGACGATGGATCTTAGGACGATCTTATTCCGCGTCTTTGAAGTACCGCCAGGCGTGCAACTCGGTTGTTGTAGCCCACAAGCTGCAGTACATCCAGCATCACCACTACCTGCTCATTTCAGAAGGACCGAGCCAGAATTACATCGAAGTCGACAGGAGTTTCAATGACTTGGCAGCCAAGCTGGAACCGTTGTTGGACGACCCATCACGGGCAGAACGCATTGCCAGCAATAGTGTACAGACATTCCGCGACCGATATCTCACCAAGGCAGCGGAAGCATGCTACTGGCGTATGCTCTTCGAGGGGTACAGTGACGTCTGGAATAGCAGTGTTCCGGGTCAGTCAAAGTATCAAGAACAGCAGCGAGGCTTCCGATACGAGTCGTTCATTCTTCTGGATAGTCGCATGATGTTTGAATTTGACGCAACGAGCGCAACGAGCGCGATGGGCTGAGGGAACTTGGAATTTGAAAGCTGATGGTGACGCAACAACCAACCTACTGACAAGTCACAAACTATGGTCTCGGTTTCATGCATGATAAATAGGTAGTTATTGCATCAGCGTTGCGCTAGTCTGTGTTGCGAGTTGGGGCAAACAAAAGAAGGTCTGGTAGCATCACATACGTCAGGGTAGAAAGTTTCATGGGTGTAAGTTGAGTTGGTGGTGACTTGCAAAATCAATTCAATGGATGTTTCAATTCACGAGAAGAGGCCAGTCATGTGAGGGGAAAGGCGGATTCCGATCGATCTTCAGCTCTCCACTCACTCGCCCGCTTCAACTCCAAGTCTCCAACCTCTCGATTCCAGTTTTGACCACTTACTTCGACGCCTGGCTTCAGTTCCGAGAGAAGTGGTCGGCCAGTAAGAGTTCGACTATAATCAGACAGGGTCTATGCTACTTTGGTACTTACTCAACTTTAGTCTGCAGAATCTGGTATCAACCTAAAAGGACTTGGGATCGACCATGATTTGGGCAGGATAGCGAACCTCTCCGGTCAGACGACTTGTCTCACTTCAAGCCCTCTCCTTTCTCTCGGTTGTGCAGAGGTGAGATTGCAGTGGGTGGGAAATGTTGTTATTGGGTCTGTTTATCCACTACGGCACGTCCAAAGTGGAGATACGATGGACCTTCTTGGCGCTGCAGCTGCGGAGTGCGCTTCCTTCAACCAAACAAACCAGCAATATCCCTTCATTTGATAAATTCTTTCTTTCATCATGATTGTCCGTGATCGACTCCGACCTTCAAGGGCAGGGCAGTGACAGTGCAATCACTCACGCGACCAGTATGTACACTGTACAGAGACAATGCACTGAGTCTGCTCTTGTTGACAGGGCCTTGGACCACATTACGAGCATTCCTCCCCTTCGCTGACAACCGGTCGATTCTGAGTGGCATACCCTCCCGTGGCGTCAAGCAAGGTAGCTCCCACCCTCCAGATGAACCATGATCTGTGCGGAGATCGGCTCTGGCGCTCGACCACTGGGGTGACGCCAGTGGGGCCTCGTCAAGGGCGCGAACAACCGACTATCGAAGGGATCGTCGCGCGAATCGGCGAGATTTCAGCTCAGCTGAGATCTGCAGCCACTACACTCTTTCAGAACCATTCACAACTCGTACCATCTCTATGGAGGTCGCACGGGGGAGCCGACACGCCGCCTACACACCGAAAGTGTGGAGGCTGGCTGACTGGCTTATAACACAGGCTTGCGTCCTCTGGTTGACTTGAATTTATTGCTTTCTGCTCTGTTTGTCCTCCGAACATCACATCATGCCGTCAGCAATTCCCAAGCCCCCGGGGGTCTTCCTCCTCGGCAACCTCTTCGACGTGAACTCTGGCAACCCCTGGATGTCATTCAACAAACTTTCGACCAAGTATCGTAAGCCTTCACCTATTCCAGGCTTGATGTATTCTCTCGGTTCTAATGTTTGTTTTGCTTTGCAGGTCCCATTTGTAAAGTCACCATTCTCGGCCACGACATTGTTCTGGTCACCGGCGCCGCCCTCCTGGAAGAAATTTGCGACGAAAAGCGCTTCCGAAAATGTGTCAACGGGCCCATCGTCGAGATTCGACAGGCAGTCCACTCGAGTCTATTCACAGCCTTCCATAGTGAAATGGATTCTTGGGGCGTCGCCCATCGCATCATGGCGCCCCTTGTCACCCCGGAAGCCGTCGCGCAAGTCTTCACGGACATGCGCGAGGTATCGAACGATCTGATCAGGAAGTGGACCGCTGGACCGCGCCAGCGCGTCAATGTCACCGACGACCTGGATCGTCTTAATCATGCCGCGAACATGCTGTGTTTCTTCGACCAACGACTGCACTGCCTAGAAGGTCCAGAGCCGACGCTCATCAAGGCCATGGAGGGCGCTACCACCGAAGCTGTCCGACGCCCTAGCCGCCCGAAGTTCCTCAACTGGCTCCTCTATCAGCGCAAGTTCGACAACTTCAACAAAGCTTTGCGCGATTACTCAGCCGACTGCATCGCACATCGGCGCGCCAACCCGTCCGCCAAGAAAGATATGCTACACGCGATCATCGAGGGCACAGATCCAGAAACAGGAAAGGGACTGGACGACGTCCAACAGATTGACGAAATCATCAACGTCTTTATCGGCAGCGCAACGGCACCGAACCTTGTTGCGTTCGCCCTTTACTATCTGATGAAGAACCCCAAGGAGATCGCGCGCGCCCGGGAAGAACTGGATGCTGTCGTTGGAGGACCCGGTGCCCAGATCGAACACGAGCATTTGGCAAACCTCCCCTACTGCACTGCCATTCTCCGCGAAGCCATGCGTCTCGCCCCTCCAGCCCCTGGCTTCAATATCGAAGCCATCCCATCCGACGAAGGCCCAGTCTACCTCGCTGGAGGCGAGTACGAAGTTCCGCGTGATCAACCCCTCATCGCGATCCTGTATGGTGTGAATCGCGACCCGGCCATCTTCGAGGATCCCGATGCATTCAAGCCCGAGCGTATGGTCGGCGAGAAGTACGACCGGTTGCCGTCGAGTGTCAAGAAAGGATTCGGAAACGGCAAGCGTCACTGTATTGGGAAGCAGTACGCGTGGGAATGGTCGTTCTTCACGCTGGTCAGCATCCTTAAAGATGTGGAATTTGAATTGGCCGACAAGAAATACGTGACCAACCCGGCGACCGAAAACTACAATGGCGCGTTCACTGTGAAGCCGCTGGGACTTTTCGCTGTCACAGGGCCCCGACCCCGAGCAGGCTAGAGCCTCTGGTGGTCTTTGAAGTTTCCCATTCTGTGTCTTATCCTCATGATATCCAAATTGCGTTAGTAATGTATGCTACATGTTGCATGTTCCGTGGTACTACTCCGGATCATTCGACCTTTCTTTTGACCCATCTATGATCTAATGCTATTTATTATCTGGATTTCTGTCCAACTTGTTCGTATTGCCCAGCTCCTTTCTACTTCGACTTCGACTTGTAGTATTCATCTGACTTACCCAGGTAAGAACGTAGCCTGCCAACTACCTCTGAGAGTATGCGCGTTCGACTCGTGTCGGGCTCACGGTCCCAACCTCGCATCTTTCAGCTCCTGCTTAATCGTAGTCACTGAGCTTGGGTTTGCCACAGCCACGGGATTGTTGTGGGGCCTAGACCTTTCATCCTGTGATAGGATCTATCGATCCATGGAATAGACGGTACGGCCCGCGTCTTAGTAGGCAGGATTATACATAGCCGAGACTTGCAAGTTGGCGATGGACTCCATGATCCGGGAACTGGAATTAATGGCAATGTTATTGAGGTACAGAGAGTGCTGACTGTCAATACTATAAGTGGGAAGTTTCAAGCGGATGTCAGATCTGCCGGGTGTATATAATTTTGAGGTGGTGCCGTCGCCACTGTAGCCGTCTCGCTGATTCCCGTGGGAGTAAACCAGGTGAGTTTCAGGGAGGGCATCGTCTGGTGACCTAAGATTGGAGGAGGACCTAACATAGAGGTATATCTCAATCTCAAGCGACTCTGGCCTGTTATAAGATATGTAACAGATTCTGTTTTTTTTGAGAATTGATCGAATTTTCTCCCTTTGCCACGAGAAGTAGTTATATTGAGGCAAGGTAGAATTCTGAAGATAAAGGGTGCATCTATAGATATACCAGGAAGAAAAACAAGTATACACAAAATATGTTGACGTAAAAGAGTCACGTCTCGAGTCTCTGTAGATTGATTGTGACGAAAGTGGCCTTGGGAGCTTATCTCCTGTATATGATTCGCTGGGAGCTTCATCATATCTTGCCTCAGAAGCGGTATAAGAATGATGATCTCACGCAGTGGAGTAGTGCTTGCCTCGCACCAACGCCACCAACGCAGACGATCCGTGAGCATCTGTCTCCACGTAAGAGCTTAGAGGGCCTGGAACCTATCGGTGGTGGACCAGAGGCAGCTGCTGTGGTAGAGGTTGCCGTCCTGAGAGTCACCCAAGGGTTGTATGAGTTGCGTGTCATGCTTGAAATATATCTTTTTGTCCACCAGAAAATACATGAAGGTCCCCATAATTGACTACACACTCGAGCTACAGAAGCGGAGTAATCGCTGAAGAGAGTGAGTGAGCTGAGCCTCATTCCTTGCTGCTATCTACAGTCCTCACTCCAGAGCTGACGAGGGGCGATTCTGACCGGATCCCAAGCTTTATGGGTATAGTACCCTGCTACCGCACGCGACCTGCTCATACCGAGACATTATAGCCTAAACGACGATCAGCAGAGTTCAAGCCACTTCGCAGTGCAACCGATCATTGCAGACAGCCATCCTCCCACGGTGGTCGAACAGACCGTCTGAATGAAAATCCGATTCGCCTTTCTGTGCCATCTCTGGGGTCATACAACTGGGGATCCAGTCAATTCGCTCGGATGTCCTTGTCCAACAGGCGAACGTCGATGGACAAAAGCACGCTCCCCTCAGCCCCTCCCTCCCCATGACATGTGATCAAATGCAATGCGTCGACGTCTGTTCTTGTAGGGCCCTCCGAAAATAAGTCGCCCCGGCCCTGATTGCAACACCTTTCGCAAGCGCCGTTGCCGTGATGTGGGGCTAGATGCCCGAACTCCATAATTTTATTTCTTGATTGTGATGTGGGGGTAAGCGTGAGTGTCAACTTCGTTCTTAACTTGGTCGGTTGTCTCCGATTCATGTAGCCTTCTTGAGCTTTTGAGATTAGCATGTTGTAGCACTTAGAGAGCGTATCAGTGCGGTACTCCTCAGGCGACTCAGCATTCTTGCGGTCCCATTAGCCATGGTGATGGGCTTGGAGGAAATCATGCCCAAAGCTCTCTCTGGAACACGAGGGAGTTGGGGAAAGAAGCAGATGGAAACAGAGTAACGGGGGTACCTGGTCAAGAATGACAACTGACGTCTAGACTCGCTCAAGCAATGCCATGGAGGAGGTTCAACCATGCCCAGATTCATGATCGGTTGAAGCCGACAGCGGTAAGTGAAAAGTAACCGGTTTTTCCGTCCATGTCCTGAAGCTGGGTATTAATTTGAGAAGGGCCGCAGTGGGAGAGATGATTGACTGCGATGGAAATGTGTCACAACAGGGAATAATGAGGATTTTAAACCAATTCATGCTTGCTTTTGAGGATGTCTGTCTGCTATCAATCTTTGATCCGATACATGTCTTCAATCTGATGCAACTAGGATGGGCTGTTGATCAGACTGACCGAACGAGAGAGTGACAGAAAGGGTGGAGCAAAAGAGGAAGAGAGATAGAGAAGGTGTGTAAGTGCAAGTGCAAGTGCAATGTATGTGTGTGTGTGTGTTTCAGACAGGGAAGAGACTCAGTCACGGGACGAGTGCCATTGCCTTATCCCATCCATCCAAAGAGATTCCACCATCAGCTTCCACTTCCATCTTCGTTCTTCCCTCTTGCTTCTTCCCAGTTACCCGAGATCGGTGCTACCACACAATCACGGGTCTCTTCCAAGGACGGCTCAAAGTTGCTCCAGATTCATCGGGGGTAACACAGAAGCTGGATCATTTGCCAGTGACCGTCTGGCCAATTCACATCCAAAACACGCCAGTCCGGATACGAATACCCTGGTCTGCCTTTCCATTGACTCGGAGCTGGGATCTATCGCCCTTGATGATCTGGCACGCTGTCTCATCTGCCCGTCGGCTTCAGTCTCTCCAACCTCGCTTGCCAGGAAATCGATTGATTGGTCTTCGGGGCAACCCACGTCAGGGCTCGCTCGATGCTGACGACAGATCAGCCGTGAAGCTGAGCTCAGGCATCCTAAGCGACAAATTCTACACTGCCACTCAATACTCCCCCCTCGAACCACCACCAATCGCCATTCTCGGATCCGCCCATAGTAGGAGAGCCTTGTCTCTCCGAGCGATGATGGACACTAAGCCTGCAAAAAATTTTTATCCTGACCGGTACTCAGTAATTCCATACTTTCAATTAGCATTTGGCCTACATGCAATCCAATCGAGCCATGGTCGAGTATTACCGGTCATGCAACTGGTTCACCTTCCCAATCGCTACCGTGACGGTACGCCAGCCATACCATTTCGAGGCTAGGATGTTGAGCTAATTTTAATCTCACTCTCATGATGCTCAGCCCAAGAAATGTATCATTTGCATTGTTGTTGGTCTGTACTGTTGAGACTAGCTTGGGAAAGCTCGTCATTAGCTACGCCAAGAGGGTCGTTTAGCCCTAACTGGTGCACCGTGATCGAGGATGCGCACTGACGGGTACCGCACACATGGTCATACTACACGGCGCTCCCGGGTACAATGCAACAAGGAGTGGCCGTGTATACCGAAGCACTGGAATGACTTGCTTATGCCTTTCCCCAGGGCCCCAGGGCCTCAGGCCTGCCTGCTCTCATCCGTTCCCGGCTGCCGCATAGCTCGGTTAGTTCAATATAATTATTGCTCTGGATCCGTGCGCATGTCTTGCCAGACTAGTATACTCGATGAGAAAAATAACTCTAGGTCCGGACAGCTGGATGCATAATATCAGCTGAGACTCATTTGGCGGGCAGATCTGGCTCGACCTTTGTGGCCTAGCCCTCTCGATATTCATGCAAAGCCTGTTCGCTGATCATGGTTGGACACACCTTTCAATGATCAGCAGCGCCAAGTGAAGCCTTGCCCGCGCCTCAGAGCTATGATCGTTATTGTCTGGGCACCTTTACAGCCAAGGCCTGGCGTATGACATGGACCGGGATTGCAGCGCGGACTGGAAACAGGACGTCCAGCGCGTGGCTTAAGAAGTCACGAGTCAAGTACCAGTGCAGTGGAAAAGCAAGGAGCCATGACTGACTGACTGGCTGGAGGGCCTGAGAGAAGACATATAGAATGGTTCGAGTAATCACGCACGGTGGATATTCAAATACTGCTCTGCGAGCACGAGCCACGACCTTTCCTTGGTTAGACGCCCGACCTCATGTTGCACCCATTGCGCAACCTCGTAATATTTTCTATTCGAGCCAATCACAATAAGCAGAAGGTCCCTGGAATATCCGGGATTTGGCTCCCTTGATTTCTCGGATACGGTGAGCTGAGTGCATATTATCCTTATAAGGAAGGAAGGTTAGATTGCAGCAAGATCGGCCTACTGACGTTTTGACAGCGAAACACGCAGCAGCGTGGAGGCTCTGTCATATTAAACACGCATTGCAACCCCGCAAGACGCCGAATATATGAATCCAGCCTCCAGCCTCGCACCCGGCTATCTTTATTGCTACTTGTGTATGGTGCTCGCCGTTACGGAAGAATTTTGTTCACGCTGACAGGAGTACTTCGACACCCGCGTTACTCCCATCCCTTTGATATTTATGAAGATGCGGACACAGCCCACCAAGGAGGACAGATGCACTAGCGACAGCTCTGGACAGAAGCAGGATCCAATTGAGCGGAGGAGATTGCAGAATCGTTTGTCACAGAGAAATCATCGTGAGTGGGGTCAATACGTGATGGCAGTCAACCCCATCACTCACAAGCAACATAGGTCGAAAGATCCGGGACCGCATCGCAAAGCTTCAGGAACGTGTCATCGCCAGTGAACTACGAGCAGCTGCAAGCCTCAATGGTTGGGACCATCCCAGCTCAATCAACGGTCCGCCAACAATGGATCGAATTTCGCCTGTCTTTGACCCCAACGGCAGCTCCGCTTCGTCGATGACCGACGGGTCCTCCGGCTTTGCATCAGCGTATATGTCCCAGTCAAGATATTTCTGCTCATCATGCAATTCTGCGTTGGCGCCATTGCCGTTGTACTCGACGCAAATGACAATCACATCGCCTCTGTACGACATCACCGAGATAGATGCCTCGAACATGTCCCCACCGGCCCTCCGAAACCAACCCTATTTCCCGCGATCTAGCTCTAATGCTTCTGAAATCCTGCAAGGAATGACAGGTGGATACGCATCAGCTGATGCAAATACACCACCTCTTTGCGAGCCATGGAATGGCCAAACTCAGTACTCGGGATCGTCGCTATACTACATCACAACAGGTAAGACGCATTCGGGCTTGCAGACTCATAAAGCTGATCGTCTTGCCACAGAGGCCGCGTTGCCACAGATCATGCAAGCTTTGAGCACAGGACCAGCGCGACCAAAGGCAATCATCGTGCTCTCGCAGAATCCGCAGCATGGCTCAGTGCCGACCAGCCTGCCAACGGCGCAATCACCACCGACTACAAGCAGCACCGTCGAACTCTCAGGATCGTCGAGTCCTGTTGAGTTGCATGAAATCTTGTGCCAGTGCCAGAACCAGGGGTCGATGGCTGGAACCCCTGGCATAATGGCAGCTAGTGACTGGGTCAATGCAGGTACTTCAACGTCTGTTTGCCCGCTACATTCGCTACCGGCCAATGAAAGCATGCAGCTGATGATGATGTGAATGGACTTCATTTTTATATATATACCAGTGTCGAGGTTTTTGGGAGGAGATTGTGGTACATAGACTGCTAAATCAGATCCCGTGATTGTTTATCAGCTCTTTCTCTGCGATAGGATAGATCGCAAGATACGACGACTGTGAGTTGTAGTTGGAGAGTACCTCGTAGCATCAGGACATAATGAAGCGGTGAGCCACGGAAGACAGTTGCTGTGGCAAGAAGCAAACATGGCGGCTGCTAAGTGTAAAGTCCGACCTCACCTGAGTTACTAGGACTCATACGCTGCCAGTACTCGTTGATCACTGTTTGTCGTCCTCGATTTCTCCCTCCCTGGTTCCGCATGCAGTAGTTTGCAGCACGAGCTTTGCGTCTCATCAGAAACGCCGAAGTGCACCCACCGCAGATATGGACTTAAAAGGAGTTAAGACGCACCAATCTGAGCGGAACAGCACTGAATGTCTTAGAAAAAGTAGACCAGGATCCCCTTCCTTGGGGCACGGTAGATGTATGCATCATAGCACACACCAGAAAATAAACAAAACAAAATGCAGCAGTCGCTGTTTCGACTACAGTTCATCGTATGTTATGTCCAAGACCGGACAGCAAGACGTCGGATTCTACCGACCCCCGTGATTCTTTCCCCCTTCCCTGTAAGTATCCTTGCCCCTTTGCTTGCACTTATACTCAATAAGGGAGTCACAACCATTAGCCCTCTTATATACAATGTAGTACTTCTAGGTATCGCCACCGCGTGGGAAAATCACTGTTGTGTACATTTCCATTTTTCCCATCTCGCGTGGGCTTAGGGATGTTACGTCTATGTATGTACCCGTGAGGAAATATCATGGTCACCATTGCTGAAAATATCTTGACAGATGCTCTGCTTCCCAGGAAGTGGTACACTCCAGCGAAGTGGTGGTACGCAGTATATACATACATACATACACCTGGGGGTACAGGAATTTTGAATCCAGTGACCGTGACAGACAAGACAAGTGACAATCGGGCCGTGGTGCATGGCATACGATGGAAGGAGGTGGAGGTGGAGGTGGAGCAGGATGTTTGCTTTTTTTCTTCTTGCTTTTGGCTTTTGTTTGGGGAGGAACTGGGGGTTCTCGTGGGAAAAAAGGGGGAGGGCTAATTTTGAGAGAGGGCTCGGGTTTGTGGGAGACGTTCGCAGGAGGGATTGTATTCAGTAACCGGTTTTCTTGGGATTGGGACTGATTTGGTTGCTCAGTGCTGTCTGGTTGCTGGTGATGCTTTTTGTTTGTTCGGATGGATGGATGAATGGGTGGATGGGATTGGTAACATTCTCCGAGGGAAGTTCGGGGTTGAGCATCCTTGTCTACGACCTTTGCTTTAAGCAGCAGGAGCCTCTGTAGATTCGAATGAAACTGCATTTGACCATAGCGAAAGGTGTTCGTTTCGTTCCTATACCATTCATCCATCCTTTTCCCCCTACGTTACTGAGCAGAATCGCAACAGACCTACCACGCACACTCCCCGCCATCATACCGATTCCACCCCGAATTCCAGCCCGGAATGTGGATATTGAAAAACCGCCCGTTTCCCTCCTTCCCCTTGTTGAGGATGATCTCCAGCGTTGCGCGCACGCCGTCGGCCACCGGGAGATCCGCCCGCGGACCGCCCATCTCGGTTTGGAGCCACTGCGGTAGAATTAGCATTAGGCTTACTTTGATTCTCTTCTTTGACTAGATCTCAGCCACAGAAGGAAGGATAGAAGAAAGGAACAAACGCACCCCCGGACTAATGCAGAACACCGCGAACCCTTCTTGCTCGAGTTCCTGCGCATACAGCACAGTAAGCATGTTCAGCGCCGCCTTGGTGATCTTGTACGACTGACTCATTGCCTCCCGGTAGACTGATTGCATCGCGAAGGAGCCGAGGGTTGTGGAGCTGTTTTCGTCAGTATCTTTTAGAAAGTGGAATGGGGAAGAAAGGTAGACAACTGACATATTCACAATCTTCTTCGTGGTGCCCTTCCGCAAAAGCGGGAGGAACTCGCGCGTGACGAGATGCGGGCCGTTGACATTCACGTTGAAGGAGGATGTGAGGTCGTTCCTGCGTTCCCCATTCCATGTGAGTCTTGAGGTATTGTCTACTGACACTTTTACTTCGAGAATAGGTAAAGAAGGGGCAAGGGAGGGGGAAATACATCTCCATCAACGACCCCCGCCCCATCACCCCCGCATTGTTGATCAATACATCCAATCCCCGGCCCTCCAGCGCCTGCTCGACCAACTGCGCGGCTCGTCGCACACCGGCTTCGTCGGTGATATCGAGGGGGACGGGCGTGATGCGCGAGGGATGCTCTTTCAAAAGGGCCTGGAAGTCGGATGGCGTTTGGCTGGTTTTTGTCGATGATGGTGACGGTGATGATAATGATCGCGCGGCGGCGAAGATCTGGCCAACTTCCGTGGCGGGTTTGGCGGCCAGTTGGCGCGTGAGTTCGAGGCCGATGCCGCGGGTTGCGCCGGTTATCAGGTAGGTCGTCATGATTCTTGAGGGTGCTGAATTGGTGGATTGTTTGGAAGCACTTCGAGATTGGGGATGAGAATAGTTCAAACTGTGTGAGCCGTAGACTGTAGACTGTAGACTGTGGATTGTGATGCTATGGCTCTGTGGTTGAGGTGGATGTGGTTCATATACTGTTGCTGATGAAGAGTGTATTGCGGAGTTAAGTGCTCGGGTTCCGGTCTAGTCGAGCGGGACGTGGCCCAGCATCCCTCAATGCGTTGGATTTGTAATTGGTATTGTAGATCGAAGAACCGACGAGATGTTCTGTCCCAAGTCCGTGCTCTGAAAACAGAGGTAAGTAGTGTGTCAGCAAGATGCCAAAGTACATCCAGGAGGCATCTTCGTCCACTGCGGACGCTATGGAAACAGGCTGCAGTTTGGCGATGAGGTCATTGATCCGGCGATAACGGAGATTGAGCCCCAGTTTTACTCGGTACAAACTTAATGATGGAAAGAAACAAACAAACCACAGCGGAAACACGAACGTGTGCCATTCCTTGAATACACTACACATAGATAAATTAGAATGAAGAGGGAGTATCTAATGACAACAACGTGAACCCATTTTCAAACTCCACCTACAATACGCCAGCAGTGATCATAATCGCCTAGTCCCAGCTAACCCCACCATCTCAGTAAATGCTAAAGAGCCACACAAACGCCAGTATGATGTTCATTACCCTCCTCCTACTATCGCGCTCAGCTCCACAAGGGTGGATGAATGTACTCGGCCGCACGATCGAGGATATTAGGTATGGACCACTCGCCGCTGGTCGAACTCTCCGGAGTCGGAGGCGGCAGAGATCCGAGGCTCGGTGTCATACTAGCTGCTACACCGGCAACTCCCATGCTGGACCCTGCATGCGGGTTAAGGTACGCTGGGGAGCCGGCCTGACCGGCGGCTCGAGCGGCCTGGGTGGTGAAAGCTGCTTCGAGTTTCTCCAATGCGCGGAGGGTTTTAGTCAACGGCTTGGCCCACTGCGTCTGCGTATCAACACCGACACCAACGGATCCGGGTGATGCAGAGTTCAAGCCTGCTGGACTCGGGGCGGCAGTGCTAGGTGCTCGAGGAATGGTGCTGAGCGTTGGGGGAGCGGCCCCATCTGTCTGAGGAGCAGCGGCATCAGTCGAGTTAAAGTCAAGCTCGGCGTTCGCTCGCTCAGAGATAATGACCTTGAGCTGCTGCAACAAGCTCCAGAAACGGGGGATGGTTTTGGATTCTTCGGTAACAGCCAACAGAAAAATAGAGCTGATGGCTCGCTGTAGAGCAATCCACGATCGAGACGCATGTGAACTGACAGTATGCATTTCGATGTACGCCTCCACCGTCGTCATCAGATTGTTGACACAGTCGGCACGCATACTGGCTGCGGCTGGGTCGGCCGTTTCTCCCGCTAGCTTCAACGCTGGCCGATAAAGCTCAGAGGAGAAGTATGACGTGTGCAATTTGAGGACGACTCGCTCGAGGTGCTCCGTGGCAGAGAGACAGTATTTACGATCCCGAAGGTGCGGCTTGGCCTCTATCATGATCTGCTGGATGCGTTCCTTGTAGCCCTGGATAGTCTTGTAGCTTAGTTGCGAGTGCGGACTCAGCATGCGACTGCGAACAACTTCCAACGCAAGACCAATGACTCGACACAGCGTCTCAAAGTATGAGATTTCACCAGGCTTTGGATCGTCACGATACGCGATTTCGGGCTGGCACACAGCGGTCGTAGAGGGCCTGTCATAGGAAAGTGAGAAATGGCTGTCTTGCCATGCCATCGACCACCTGTCTATAGTTAGAATCATATTTCCTCGCACGTCATTTCGTGTTGGGGCTAAATGCAACATACCAAACGTGGCGGCGGCGATAACGCTCTGCAGCTGAGAAGCGACTGGACTCGACATGTAGACCGAGGGCCAAGCCCATCCGAAGCGTCATACCGAGAAGTACGTAGGAAATTCCCGGGTTCATATTGTACGACAAGACGTTGCCGATGACGAGTAGTGTCTGCATGGCATCTATCGTCGGCTGCGAGAGGAAGTTGGTCATACGCAGACACTGGTATGAGCAGCACACTACTATAGTCAGTAAGTGCCGACGAGATGAGGGTAGAAAAAGACGAACCATAGACTTGAGATGTCAACTCTCGCTCTTTGCCCGAGAGATCCGACGATTGACAGCCAGAGGCGAGCACGGCGAACAACAATCCCATGTAGGCGATAGTTACACCAAAAGGTTTCTGGGATTGGTCTGCATCGGCGCGATATACACCACCCATCGATGCTCGGTTACTTAGCAGAAGGTGAAGATTCATCTCAAATTGTGGAACATCCTCGAGGACAGGGTAAATGGCGCCTGCGATGTCTCGGTAATAGTAGAAGAAGCTGCAGGCAGAAGTGGTTAGCATTAATTCCTCATGTACAGGTAGATGCAAACTGACTCTTTGCACTGCTGGTCGGAAGGAAGGGCACTGCAGACGGCGCTGATGTCGAAAGTTGACATGTCAGAAGACCAGAGGTCAACAAACGGATACGTTGCCGATTCGTTGTCCAGGCCCAGCTTCGGCAAGATCCCACCTTCCAGCAAGGCCTGAAGCTGATCGGATCCAGACTTGTTGTTGAGGATGTACGCCAACACCGACCGGGACCCCAGGTGCACCGTGCCTTCACCAAAGGTGTTGGGCGCATGGATGCCCTCCCGCTCCGGGGAAGCAGCCTTCGACCGACTACTGGCATCACCACTCTGAATGCTCCCGGTCTCCAGCGAAGAACCGTGTCCATCTTCGGCTCTCTCGAGTCCGACCCGTAGATTGCTGATTGTTTGCTCCATCTCCCGCAACCGAGTGCGAACATTGTCCCATTCCTCGCGCGCGATCGATACTCGCCCGGGCCCTACCTGGCCCACCAAGCTTGGTCGATTGACTGGCGCCTCTGGTTTCGGGCGTGCTAGAGGCTCGGGCGGAATTATGATGGTCTCCCCAGGGACCGTTGGACTATATGATTGCGGAAGTGAGCCCGTCATGATGCGCTTCTTGGAGGGCCGTTCGTAGGAGCAGAGGTCGGCATGGTCGCGCTTGACACAGCCATCGCAGGGAAGATTACGGTCACATTTCACTTTACGAGCGTGACAGGGGTAGCAGGCCTTGGGTTCGCGCGCCTTCCGTTTTGTGCGGATAATCGCGTCGACTTGGGATTGAGGCAGGTCGGCGATGGCCCGGGACGTGCCCGCCATGTCGGGACCAGCGACTGACGGCGAGTACGAGATGGACGACTGATACGGAGAAGTCATTGTAGGTGGTGAAGTGAGCGAAGAGACGAGAGGTGGGTTTCGAGGAGCTTCCGCTCAGAAGTGAAGGATTGTCGGTTTAAGAATGTGTGCGGACTGCTATCTCGAAGCTAGAACATGCGAACACAACAGCGGAGATGACGGGATTAGGCGGGATAACGAATGCGGCGCGGGCACTGAGCAGGGTATTTCCAGTGTTCACATTGAATGTGTTTGATAAGATGAGGAGAGAATCAGTCCATGAATGACTGTGCAAGGTGTAGCGTGGATGTCGAGGGGCCCAACATGGCTTGCTTGACGAGAATGTGCTCCCGAGGTAGCAGGGCGCAAGATTGGAAACCGCCGCCAGGTTTGACTGGAAAACAGCCCTTTGGGGAGGCCCACTTGACTAAGCAATCGATGGCAGCTTCTCACGTGATATGAGGGGAGTCGATCATGGGTTCGCCCAGCCCTAAGCCCTATCAGGAATCGAATGACGCAATGCCGTAGATTAATGCTTGCTGCCCTGCTGCCCTGCTGCCCTGCTGCCTTGCTGCCTTGCTGCCTTGCGTACTATCCGTTCGATCTATGATATAGATATAGTGCTTAGTCGCTCATATATCCGGAGGGACTGCTACTAGGCTTCTTTATCATTGCAAAGAACCTTCATGTTTCTTTTCGATCGACTGACTCCTTTAGCTTAGATTGACATTCTTTCTCTGGGCCACCTAAGATTGTTCACAATATACAAGGCAAGAAGCTTGGTGTATAATTTCCAGAAAGATATACAACATCCGATCTATAACTACCTCCCGCTTACCACCCTACCCATAGCAGTTTAACGCAAATGGTATGGACATATGGTGATTGTGGTTGGCAATGGCCATCTGCAATACTGCTCGATGCATCACAAATGAAGAATCACACAATCAACATCCGATTATGAACCTACCACCTCAATCGCAATGAATGCTTCTGGTCTCGGTCGGATGACGCTCTCAAATCCATTACGGTAGTTGTATCAACGGAGGTCCCAAAGCAATACGCAAGGCCACTCCGTCTCTTTTTCGAGAGTAGACTGCAATTGATTGATGTTCTGAATTCTTTTCTTGTGATGGCGATCGGCATTGTCGTATCCCTGCTGTTCAGCCGCACTAACACATCAATGAGGGGGCGGAGTCCGGTGATAGGAAGCAAACATATAAGCGAACTAGCACCCAACTTCCAATGGTTTAGTGCCGTTCTAAAAGTACCGGTGACAATCCTCCTGAAAGTCAACACAGAAAGTCTCTCATCGTCTCCAACAGCAAGATTCGACGCGAGTCACTACCATGCCTGATCTCCGCTCTAAGCCTAAGTGGTTGCTCAAGAAACTACGGCGACACAAAGAGAAAACACCGTCCGAAGACAAAATTCTACCGAAAAAGGAAAATAAAATCTCACCAAAGGAGTTGGAATGCAAGCCAGAAAAGCACCCCCGATCAATCTCTCCACCCAGCGATCTCTGGATCTCAGCCGAGCAAAAAATGAAACAGAACCCTGAGCTGGCCGAAGTCCTATCGGAGTCGATGGATATACTGGAATCTCAATATCGTCTTGATCTGGAACGCGGTGATCCAAGTTACCACGAACAACTGTGCAAACTCCTCAATGCCAAAACAGCTGAAGCCGAAACAAAAAAATGGGAAGTTGATCTGGGAGACCATAGTGTTGTTGTGCGAGACCAGCTCAACAAAGTGTTCAAAAACATCCTCGCCGTTAAGGAGGTTGTCAGTACGGCTGCAAGTGCAAGCCCGCCCGCCTCGATTGCCTGCGCGGGTGTCATGGTGTGCTTTACGGTAAGCCCTGATTTAATGCACTCGCCGTCGCTCTCTGTGGTTCACAGACTACTTACATCATGAAGATGATTATCCAAGCAGTAGAACAGCACGCCGTCCTTCTCCGAGGATTGGACCTGATTTCCGAGTCCATGATTCGACTTCGCGCGAGGGAAGATCTGTACCTGACTTCCCAGACAGGCCAGGGAACAGACCTTCTAAAACAACTTAAGGAGTTTTTGACCTCGCTTTGCTGCAAGATTCTCGAGTTCCAGGCACGCGCTCTCTGCTACCTACATAGACGCTCAGCTGCACAGTTTCTAAGAAACTTCTTTGACTCGGACGGATGGGCTAGCCTGTGCCAAGATATTGAGAGACATGAAAAGTTCATCGAAACTACAACTTCCCTCATTGAAGCAAGAGGCGCAAGGCAGAAGCACCAGGATCTTCTAGATCGAATTGAAGTGATTCGCAATGCTGCATACCAACGCGATCTATGGGCAACAACATCGGCTCGAGATGAGAGGATCAGAGAGTTTCTGAAGTTACTCTACACTTGCCCCTACAAGGATCGCAAAAACAGAAATGACAGGCGTGTGCCTGGAACATGTGAATGGTTCACCACACATGGTACCTTTCAGAAGTGGCAACAGAGTTCTCCCGATGACCTCGCTGGTCTCTTATGGGTCTCAGCCGATCCAGGTTGCGGCAAGTCAGTCTTAACTAGATACCTGGTTGATGACCTTCTTCTCAACGACAATAAACGAACCGTTTGTTACTTCTTCTTCAAAGACGACTTTCCAGATCAGAGAAGCGCAGCAGGCGCACTGGCAGCCATCTTGCGTCAACTATTCATTGCGCAGCCCCAGCTTCTACACGATAGAGAATTGAACAAGATGGAGACCGAGGGAGAAAAGCTTATTCAATCATGGTCTGAGTTATGGGACATGCTTATATCTGTTTCTTCTCGTCTAACGGAAGGGGAAACTATCTGCATTCTGGACGCATTAGACGAGTGTCATGACCATGCCCAACTTATCAAAGCAGTTAGAGAGTTCTACTTGAGACCGCATCGAAAAAGCAAGCTCAAGTTTTTGATGACAAGCAGACCATACGACCACATACGTCGTGGATTCTCGGATCTCGAGACAAAACTACCTACGATTCACTTGAGCGGTGATGACGAGCAAGAGGTTCAGCAAATATCTCGTGAGATCAACCTTGTCATCAGGAAACGGGTGATCGATATCGGTAAAGAGAAATCTCTCGAGGAAGACGAATGCAACATGCTCGAACACCAACTGACTGCTGTTGAGAATAGAACCTACTTGTGGGTTAGTCTTACCTTAGATGTTGTCGAAAACATACCAGGTTTCACGAAAGAGAATGTCCGTCGAGTGGTACAGAATCTTCCAAAAACCGTTGAAAGCGCCTATGAAAGAATCTTGGACAGGAGTGTTGATAAACCCAAGGCAAAAGCTCTTCTTCATATGATTACGGCTGCGGTAGAGCCGTTCTCACTGGAAGAGCTATCTCTTGCCTTGGCATTGCACCTCAATGCGGACTGCCAAACATTCACGGCTATAAGTGATGATGTCGAACCGAAAGGGCGCTTCAGAAAGCCCCTCAGGGACTTATGTGGACTCTTCGTCGTTATCATAGATGAAAAAGTTTACCTCCTGCACCAAACGGCAAAGGAATTCTTGGTCTTGCGCGACAGATTCGCTTTTGATAAGAACAGGTGTCAAGGTACCGAATGGAAGCATACACTTGTGCCAGAGGAGTCAAATCGGATTCTTGCGTCTATATGTATTGCATGGATTTCATGAATGTCTGGTGATCGGAATGGTATTGACCAGAGGAATTTTGACAATTATTCATCAAGGCACTGGGTTACACACTATCATCAAGCACGTGTGCGAGATGAGGACACGCTAATTGAACGCACGCTCTCAATATGTGACCCAGACTCTGTTTTATATAAAATATGGTCTATTATTTATGGACGGGCTGTGACGTACATTCCTACGGGTGATTCAAGACTTCTGATTGCATCATTTTTAGGGCTGACTGGTGTAGTCAAGCTCCTGCTTGCAACAGAGCAGGTGGATATCAACTCCACGGATTCTAAATTTGGCCGGACAGCACTTTCTCTGGCAGCCGAAAATGGTCATGAGGCAGTGGTTAAGCTTCTGCTTGCAACAGAACAGGTGGATATCAACTTTCCGGATTCTAAATATAGCCAGACAGCACTTTCTCTGGCAGCTGACAATGGCCACGAGATAGTGGTTAAGCTTCTGCTTGCAACACAGCAGATAAATATCAACTTTCTGGATCAATTAGGCAGATCACCGCTTTTACTGGCAGCTCAAAAGGGCCACGAAGCAGTAGTCAAGCTTTTGCTTGCAACAGAGAAGATTGATGTTGACTCTAAGGATATATTTGGCCGGACACCACTTTTTGGAGCAGCCGGAAATGGCTACGAGGCAGTGGTTAAGCTTCTGCTTGCAACAGAAAAGGTTGATGTTGATTCTAAGGATAGTTTAGGCCGGACACCACTGCTCTGGGCGGTAGACGAGGGCAGGGAGGCAGTGGTCAAACTTCTGCTTGCAACAGAACAGGTGGATATCAACTCTCCAGATTCTATATATGACCAGACACCACTTTCTCTGGCAGCCAGAAATGGTCATAAGGCAGTGGTTAAGCTTCTGCTTGCAACAGAAAAGGTTGATGTTAATTCTAAGGATGGATTAGGCCGGACACCACTGCTCTGGGCGGCAGAGAAAGGAAGAGAGGCAGTGGTCAAGCTTCTGCTTGCAACAAAGAAGGTTGACATTGATATCCAGGACGATTATGGCCGGACACCACTACACACGGCGGCTGAGGGAGGCTATAAGGCAGTGGTAAAGCTTCTGCTTGCAACAGAAAAGGTTAACATTAATATCCAGAGCGTTTATAGCCGGACACCACTGCACGCGGCGGCAGAGAGAGGCTATAAGGCAGTGGTAAAGCTTCTGCTTGCAACAAAGAAGGTTGACATTGATATCCAGGACGATTTTGGCCGGACACCACTACACACGGCGGCTGAGGGAGGCTATAAGGCAGTGGTAAAGCTTCTGCTTGCAACAGAGAATGTGGATGTGGACGTGAAAGACCGCAGAGGCTGCACGCCACTCGACGAGGCGTTGATGAATGGTCATGAGGCAGTGGTGAAGCTTTTACAGAAACGATAATTCCCACACACATATAGAGGCGGTATCCTTCAAATGTTGACTCCTAGCATCTAGTCGGAACCCAAAACACATGATGTATACAGACCTGTAGTTTTGCATACTCGGCAGCAAGAAGAAGACGAATACAAGGACAGCAACTTTCAAGGCACGGTTGAAAATCAGAGACCTCATGGAGAATATGGATGGCAATCAATTCAGCTACGAAGGACTGACCATCAGAGGAACTAGTTAAGAACCGGCAGTGAACGGGCCAAGCAGTGGGTCCTCCTTTCGGAGCTCTTGTAACAGAATGAATGAAAGACTGCTGGAAGCCCTGACTCTTTAAAAATTGGCACCACTACCCAATCCTAGCCACCTGACAGTCTTGCCGATCAACCATCCTCTCAACTGAACCCGCTACAATCATACCTCATTCTCTCAGTCAGTCGCCGAACTGACAAAATATGTCGCTGCCACCGGCCGACCCACCGCCTCCACAACAGGAGCCAAGCTGAAATTGAACCGTGCATCCGTGGTCTGATCATAGTACAGACCCTCGGCGGCTGCAGCAGGCGGAACATATCCCTTCGGCTGATTGAAGAGGTAAATTGTATACGCATGCTCCGTGCTGTCCCTGGGTCGCGGGGCGGTATACGGTGCTAGGGCATCGCTTGCGTTGACGAATGTTCGACCTTCCAAGGTGTAGTTTCCACCCCACCAGTGGAGACGAGTGGTGGTATTGGCTGCCAGTCCAGGGACAAGGGTGGAGTACTTGTCTGCTGTGGTGACGTCGGAGTCCGGGATGTTGAGGTCAAGCATCAGGATCATGTAGGTTCCTGGGTAGGCATGCTTGACCTTGCCGGGGTAGATGGATGGTGCGGATGTCACATCTAAAGAATGATTGAGTTAGTGTGTTGAAAGATTGTGGCGGTTTGAAGGACTGCGATGCATTGGATACCATACCGTCGGGATTGATCCATAGACCCGGGGTAACGGTCTCGTTTCCGAAAGATGCGCCTAAATTGATTTGCGTTTCTGGCCAGCTCCCTACTGGAGTCTGTGCCAATGATGTTGCTGCGAGGAGCGCCGACGAGAGAATAGTGGTGGTGCGCATGGTATTTGTTGGTGTAGGCGAAGGGATTTGAAGTGGCTGTCTGGAATGAGGGAGAGAAGATGACTGAATATAGGGGCGAACATATAATGTTATTGTACATTTGAAGCAAAGGCAGTGATAAATATTGTGGAGGTCTACGCAACCATAGGGCGAGGTATGGACAATCGAGACCGAGTGGAGAGGCCTCGTCACCACTGCGGTTATCCTCAAACGCCGAGGAAAACTGGGGATGTCGGAGGTCGGATGTCGGAGGAAACATCTAAATGCGGGAAAAGCATGTTGTCAAATCTCGGGTATAGAACATTAATCTCGGTAAGAACAAGTCGAGAATTGGGTGATGGCTTGCGCCCTCCTGAATGACCAGACATGCCTTGGACATACGCCGCATAAACGGACTAAGACCACGACCCAAATAATATACGGTTATGTCTAAGCTTATTTGTAGGATGAGGAGGTATCCACTAAAGCTATATATTGCATTAATATCTATTAACAGATTTTCTAGTGTGCTTGGTATCAACATAAATCATAACTCGCAACGCGTCATCAAACATCTAATTAGTGTACAGTCCATCGTGCAACATGCCAAGCATGCAAACCTAATAGCGCAGTGCGCTATCCAGCAAGCGGTCGATAAAAATCGCCCTCTAATGTTTCTCTCCCTGTTCTTCGTCGTCGCTGAAAGCGAACTTGGAGAAACGACGAATGGACGCTCCCTTGAAATAGAAGACATACGGAATCGCACAGCAGGCGAGGGCGATGAAAGCAAGCAGAGAGCTTGCCCACTGATATCCGAGTCGGGCGTACATTTGCTCGGTGAATAGAACAGTGGATGCACCCCAGATGGAGCGAAGGAATGTCTTGGCGGCAAGGGCGGAGGCGGCCTGGTGCTGATATGTATCCACTATGATTGAATGAGCAATCGATCTAGACTGGAAGTGCTTGGTGTGACTTACCGAGATAGTTATTGGCCGAATTATACAAGAAGATGAAACCAAAACCGACTGGCCAGCCTCCAATTGCAGGACCGATCCAATGAAGTCTGGGATAGGAGGTCCAGGCGAAGATGAAGAGTCCGATCGGAATAAGCCAGCAGGAGAACATCATCGGGATCAGACGAGCTTCGGCCGGGGGCTTTCCGTTATACTTCTTGTACAGTGACAAGTAGTGCTTGTTCACGAATGGTGCACATGCAGCGCTCATGAGAACACCGATAGCGAGAGGGATGAACATCAAACCCGTCGATCCGGCGCTCCAACCTTTGCCACCTTGATAAACAACCGGGTAGCTGCGGGGAAGAGAGTTAGAAGATTCGCTCTGTATCAATCTAGGGGACATATACTCACGCAATGAAGAACATGTAGAGCAGGCCATACAGGACTGACATGTAAAGAGCGATGAACAAAACAATAGGCTCCAGACACAGAAGTTGGAAGGGACGGAAGAGAGTCATTCGCAATCTCTCCGCCAGCGGTCTAGCATCAAGCTCCATCTCAGTGACGTATTTGGGGTCATCCTTTTCCTTTCTGAGCTTCTTCGCCCTTCGCTTCAGAAGGGTGGGCGCATAAGTCTCAGGGACTGTGAACGTGATCAGCACCCAAGCCACAAAGGCAAGGATCAGCTGCAACCAGTAGAGCCATTTCCAGTTTGTTGCATCGGCAAGATAGCCACCAGCAAGAGGACCGATGGCAGGACCAAGGAAAGGACTGGCTGAAAAGGCTGCCATAGGGACGCCTCGTTCTTCGTTTTTCCAGAGATCGGCCAGTGTACCGCCTACCAGTGTCATCGGCGCGCTGAATGCAATGCCATCAATCGCTCTGCAAACGATAAGCGTCGCGATATTGGGAGCAACAGCACATGGAATGACGAAGATGACGGCCAAGAGCAAGGTGGATGCATAGACGAGTCTGCGGCCTACAATCTCCGACAGAGGGGCGAACACCATTGGACCTACAGACAACCAGTCAGTCACTCTGAGCTCAGTGATATGGTAGTATGTAAATAGTTCCAGTGAGGATGCGACTTACCGACTCCAAATCCAATAACGAAGACCGTCACCACGACTAGACTAACCTCTCTGGAAACGCCAAATGTTTCCGAGGGTCCTTCTATATCGGCGGTGATAACACTGCTTGAGAAAGCGACCACGAAGCAAGTGAACGAAACAACCATGGTACAGTACCACTTGTATGCTTTGGACCAGCTCTTGGGGTTCTCCGGATCATCGATGCTGAAGGTGACCAGCCTCCAGTCTTCATCCTTTCCTTTCAGGGCAGACCGCACTGGTTTGATTATCTCCCCGGTTGTTGTTTCCGTAGTATATTCTTCCATGTTGGCACCATCGTTCACCTCTCGATATGGTAGGTCCAAGGGATCCGAGCTCGGGGCTGATACCATCGAGTGGGTTCGGCGGGGATAGTCATTATGGGTCTTGACTCGTTCTAGAGGCTCCATTTTTTGAGTGTGAAGGGACACTATTCAGAGACGGATACCACAGTATATGAGGTTGAAGCGATGAAGAACATGGTGTCGATGAGCAGACTAGATGCCTGCATTTATAGAATTGAGCCATGGCAACAACGCTATAGACATTACCACATGAGCAATGAAAAGTTCTGATGATTCGGTCGAGATGCCGCGAGAACCTACAAACAATAGATTAGATGGCAAAGTCAAAATGACCTATGTGCCCGAAAAGGCAACCAGCCAGCTCGGGTCCACAGCCGCAGGGGCCATATTTCCCGACTCGGTAGGCAAAACTAGCCACTTACGGCAATATGGCTCGAGACCCCGATCTGATTATCTCCCTGATCCGACTTGGGATGATAATTCAATTTAAGGGAGTTCTAGACTTCTGCAAAAGATGCTATATACAAGTCATGCCATGGTAAAGGATTCTTTGATTATCTCTGACAGAAGTACGTCTGCGCAGGGGTAGCTAAGTGAGGTATGATGTGTTGTGCACGTGCGTGCGTGCACACACACACACACACACACACACACACAAAATACATACCTCGAATCGCGACCGTAAGCCTGAAGAAATAAAGGTAAAGGGACGCCGCAGTACTCGGTTTCTAGCGTGGAGTTGAAGTATACCGAGAAGTAGGCCTTTCGTCTGAGATCCGGATGACGAGAGTCTGGAAAACTACCAGAGATGCAGGGCAGAATTGGCGACTAGCCTACGAGGACAGGTGACGGAATGGCCTAGTCAGCCACGTATACCTTCTCCAGGTGGAAATATGACTCCGGATTGCCTGATCCTGGATCTTGAACAATCCCGTAGATGCAGACGGTCGGGATAAGTGTAGAAACCACTATGCGGCCTCGAACTGGCTGAGCTCATACCGTGCCAAGGAGTTGAGGATTGGAAGTGGCTGCCAAAGCGCCGGTCGAAACTCGCAGTTGACGGCAGGGCGGCACGCGGAGCATGTTGCCCGAAACGGCAAGGAACCCAGAGCTCAGGCTCGGAATGGAGATGTAATGAAAATTGAAAAACCTCCCCCGGACCCAATAAATCCCCAGGATGTCCCATTCCATTATGCTACATTTTTCAGCTGCAGTGGGGACTGGCAGGGAAAGATCACAGATTGAATGGTGTATAGGTGGTCCTAGCTCTTTGCCCCAGATTGTGGCAGCAACTCTCGCGAAAGACATCATCGAAACACAACGACAGAAAATAAGGCTCACTATGCCGGGCAGAAACCAAAATATTATAGCCTCGAGAAGACCCTTCGCAGAAGCGATGATGACTGCTTGACATATACCCTGAGTACAGGGTTTCGGTTTTAGGTCAAGCGATAGGCATCTGAGAGCTCCTGCAGCTCTTGTGAGTGTGTGACTACATAGGAAAACCAAAAACCAGCAGTATCAACTCAACTTCGTACATACCGAGTATGCAACTTTTTATCGCGGTTGAATACGAGGGAGCTAAAGAGGCAAGGTGCTGCGCTGCACACAAGGCCAGAGACTCTGCTTAGCTGCCTCAGGCAGCGACACTTTGCCGCCGTTTTCCGGGGAAAAGTGCGCCGCACGTGACTGATAAGAAGCGACGATAAGCCGGAAGGAGACTAGCGCGGGGTGGTTTTTCCCACCCTCCGTCAACGGAGCAGAAAGATTAATTTTTGATCTTAACGAGACAAGCAGCTCAAACGCTTCCTCCAGTCTGTTGAACTCACTCATTAGAGGTGTGTCTGTGACACCTCTTTCATAGAGGACTTCTTTAGTTCTCTTCTAATCCCAGTCTACTCGACTATATCCTTTCCTCTCCTTTCCGCCACCCGTCCCCCCTCTATCCTCCCTCCCGCCTCCCGACCGAGTGACTCACTCTGCAACACCTCAGAATGGCCTCCAACTCGACCTACTTGGCCATTCCTGGCTCTGTCGCCTTCTCCCACTCTCGTGGACGCGCAGTTGCTGCCAGCATTGGAGCTAGCGATGTCCGTGCGCAATGGATTCACTATGTCCATCTTTCCCAGCCCTTGGACGAGTCCCAGCGGGCGGTATTGGAGCAGCTCCTCCGCTATGGTGATATCACCGATATCCCCCCCACCTTCACCGCTGAAGATGGCTCCTTCGACGTTTTCCACGTCTTCCCTCGCACGGGTACGATCTCTCCTTGGAGCTCCCAGGCTACTGGTATCTCTCACGTCTGCGGCTTGCGCCAGTACGTGAAGCGCATTGAGCGTGGTATGAAGGTCTCCTGCCTGCACAGCGGAAGCAGCGAATACAAGGATGGCTTCCAGGATGTCCTCCATGACCGCATGACCCAAATCATGAGCGAGAACGAACCGGATCTTCACCTGATGTTCTCCGAACACAGCCCCCAACCCCTCGAGACGATCCCTCTTCACGGCAGCGATAAGTCCCCCAAGGAGGTCCTCCAGGAGGCGAACAAGAGACTCGGATTGGCATTGGAAGAGTCGGAAATCGATTACTTGGCCGAAGCCTACGGACCTAATGGTCCTCTCGCTCGTGATCCTACTGACGTTGAGCTGTTC